TATAGTTGTCCTCGAAATTCACTATAAATTTTAATTAAATTATGGTTATTTCAATTATATTTTTCTTTTGATGTACCGACATTTGATGTCTAATTGACGATCATTTCAATTACTAGATGAAATTTTATTAAATTCAGCTTAAGAAAAAATACTTAAATACTTTGGAAATTAGTCTGGATTTCAATATAAATGGAATAATAAGGAAACTAAAATTGATGCATTTAGAATTAATCACCAAATTTTTAAGTCTCAGACAAGATATGCAACAGGAAGGATCAAACTTGATCATTTTAAATGGAATTATGCGTCGGAGATTGTGGGAATTGTTAGGAACTGTTTGCGTCTTCCTGCTCGCACCTCTCATCGTGATTGCTCTGATCTTTTTATACATCTATCGTCGTTTGGTCGAGATCGCGTTAAGAATTCAGTTGCGGAGCAAGTTCGCCGGTCTCTTGAAGGGCACGGATTCCATATGGGCCATTGAAGATGTCGTTTCTCCATCCATTATCAATGTCTTGTTGATATTGGAAAAGACCGCGCAGGATTCAAACGCGAACTTCCTGGAGACTTTCAGGATTCTGATAAATGAACGGCTTGTTTCAAAGGCCGCTGGCACGACGCTTGAGAAAATGTTTTACCTTCGAAGTCAGAAATACGGCTACTATTTTTGGGAGAGAAGCGATACGGTGGACCTGAAAGACAGGATCAGATGGCTGGAGTGTGCGACCGCCAGTTGTGACGGGTCCTGCGAGGATATTTCCAGCGAGTCCTTCAGGAAGAACTTGGAAAGCGTGTGCAACAAACCGTTGCCCGATGATCACCGAGCCGGGTGGGAGATCCTTGTCGGGAGACGGTGCCCGAGATCCAGATTTCAGGAAAAGGGTCGTTTATGTCCCGAAGAGATCTTCAACACCGACACCCAGAAAATTCCCGTGATAATTCGCTTTCATCATTCTCTAGGCGATGGGATGGCCATTGTAGGCTTATTCTTCAAAGCGATCTCCGAAGAGTTCAAGATGACAGCGGCAAGAACGAAGATCAAGAGTATCGCCTCGTCAGACGAGACTGAAGAAAGTTTTAAGTTGTTAAAACAGCAAGCGAAAATGTCAACCGGTCGTACATGGTTGAGTCACAAAGTTATCGTACTGACACAACTGTATGAAAAAATTAAAGAGATCACACGGATTACGATGGCTTTATTTTCTTTTCCGAAATACATCGTTCAACAAGCTGTTTGTAGTATGGACGAAAAGTACGTTTAGTGTTTGGTTTATTGTGTATTAAACAAAATGTTTAATCCATCTTATGGGAGATAAATGAATGAATAGATTTATTTTTATATCAAACTGAAAGCCTGAGATAAAAAACAAAAGAATGGAAAGATGTTTAAAATCTCTACTGTCAAAATTAAAATTTATAATTTCACGAAAAATAAATTTTGTTTAGATGTATTTATTATATCTGACATTTTCATATTACTAGTGGAAATTAAAGCAACATCTTATGCACTTCGGAAAATAGATAAATTTCAAGTGAGTGTAACTTTGACAAAAATGGTTAGAAAATGTTTCGAAGAACATTTTAAAATTTGAAATTTTTTTTTTTAATATTTTAAATCTGACTAATTTGTTATTGAGCTACACAAATACAAATAGAGATCCGCTATTTCTAAAAATTTTTACAAACTTTGCAAAGTTTCATGTTGTAAATGAGAAGTCTGATACAAATACAGTTTATAGCTTCCGAAGCGTGAATGTTTCATTTTAATTTGCGTACTTGTTGATTGTTATGCGATTATTTTTCACTGTTCAGAATTTCGTGCGTGTGTGCAATAAAATGATAAAATGATGATCGTGCATTTTAAAGAAAATATTTTTTTGCATTAGCAAGTGTTATTTCATTCGTCTTTTATGAGCAATTAAAGTTAAAAGAGACGCTTTTCGCTTCAATGCCGAGATGACGCTTAAGAATCTGTTCTACCTTTGAAGCCAAAAATTCGGCTACTATTTTTGGGAGAGAAGCGGGAAAGTAGACTTGAAAGAAAACAATATGTTAAACTTGTTTACTGACTTAGGTGAGTGTAACTTTGACAAAAATGTTTCTCAAATTTTAGAATTTACTTATTTTTCGAAGATGTATAAGGCATGATGCTTTTATTTCCGCTGGTAGTGTATACGGTGTATTGTTATAAATAAGTTTTGTTATAATAAATATCATGATGCAAGTAGACATCATGAATAAGTGTATGTTTTTACAGCGCTCTGCATGGTCCACCATTAACGGGTGAAAAGATGTTTTACTGGCTGGATAACGTGACAAATGATAAATCATTGAATCTTTTGATGAAAATTCGCGAGATAAGAAAACATACAGGTTCCAAATTTGAAGATATCGTATTGGCAGCTTTTTCCGCTAGTGTACACAAATATCATTTAAGCGTAAGTATATATAAAGCTTTCAAGCAACAATAAGTCTAAGAACTACATTCAGATATATGATATATTCAGAACTACATTCATTTAGATAGATTAAATAATATCTAGAAAATGGGAAGATGAAAATTTTTTTACACATTTATATTGCATCGATCTGCATCTAAACTTGTTTTACTATTATAATTTTTCTTTAAATCATATTATCGTAGATTAAGAAAACAGCTCCTGATGCATTAACAGTTGCTTTCCCAGTAAGAATGGCAATACCTGGCAAAAATTTAACATTAGATAACAACTTTTCGGCTGCTGCCTTGCGAATTTGTATCTCCAATGCGAATGGAGAAACAATCGTCGAGCCAAATCTGGATTCTCAGTTTTTTAAGCGTCTTCAAGATATTACAAAAGCAAATAACGAACTCAGAAAGCGTTCAGACATTTTGTATAATTATTGGATCATAAAGTATCTACCTGCGCTATTACCGGTGAAAATGTTTATGCAGGCTTCTCATTTAGTAGGTAACGGCACGATGGGGTTTAGCAATATGCGCGGACCGGAAAAAGGTCGTATTCTGAATAATTATATAACCAACTGTGTCTTCTGGATACCAACGAGGTATCATATCTATCTTTTTTTGTATAATAAATAAAATTGTTGTGCATTTTAGAAATATATGTATAGATGCATCACAATTCGTTTGCAGAAACCCTATTGCTCTCGGCCTATCTCTGTTAAGTTACGGAGGCAACAATTTACAACTGTCTTTAATAGCTGATAAGTCAATCGTAAAAGATGAGACATTTTTTAAAGAGCTTTTAGAAAATACTGTACATGAAATAGAAACCGCTTATAATCATGTTGTATTGATGCGATTGAAGCTATCGAATCTTCCGATAGAAACATCCGCGGAGAAAGGTAATTAATGCAAATTGAATTTTTAGTTATTTCTCCATTAATTTAATTTCTATATTTTTTTATACACACAGGCAATAAAATATTCAGTAAATTTATATTCACAAAACAAATCTTTGTATATTTTCAGATGCCTGTTTCGAAAGAAAAAAATATGAGTGACTAAAATATTTTATTTCTTATGGTGAAATATTCTTAATGTGAATGCATTTGGTCAAGGGTATAAATTATTTTAATACGTTTACATTTAATATTAAGTAATAAACGCGTTCTGTGGAATGGTTTGCAAAAATTAATAATTTAATCTTTTTAATAAATTTGTCTAGAATTGTATTTTATTAATAAAGTTTTTTAATCTATATATTGTGTGATATATAAATGTATGCCTGTTAGTTAAATAATCCGAAATTATGTTTTTATTAATTAATCCAGTATTATCTGTTTAATACCGTAATCTGTTTAATTTTATTAATCATATGCTTAATTTAAATATATACATATATGTATATATATATATAT